AAGAAGAGGAATATGTTCCTCAATCTGTCCAAGATGCCAAGAAGAGATTTGAAGAACCTCAACAAGCTGTGCCGAGAGCTCCAGCAAGCATGCCAGCATCTCCAATGCCTAAGAAAAAACAGTTTAGGCCAGTCAGTGCACCTGTGTCGCCTCAAGTTGCTCGAAAGGAGATGAAACCAGCTGCTCCAGTGATGGCTCCTTTTGCACCTCAGAAGATGCCTGAGCAGAAATTTGTTCCTCAGAAGCCTCAGAAGATGCCTGAGCAGACATTCGTTCCTCAGAAGCCCCAGAAGATGCCTGAGCAGACATTTGTTCCTCAGAAACCTCAGAAGATGCCTGAACAGACATTCGTGCCTCAGAAGATGCCTGAGAAGACATTTGTTCCTCAGAAACCTCAGAAGATGCCTGAGCAGACATTTGTTACTCAGAAACCTCAGAAAATGCCAGAAGAGATGTTCGTTCCTCAGATTGTTCCAGATCAGAGACAGCCGAAGTCTCGACCTCAAGAAAGACAACCAGTCTTTGTGAGAGATATGCCTGGACCTGGGTGATTACCTTTTTCAATCTTTCTTGAAAATTTTAAAGTCATTGGAAATATTAGTCAAAATAATTAAGCCATCAATCAAAATCCACAGGAGAAAAACGAAAGTCCACATTATCCAGCAAAATTATCTCAACCTACTGCTGAGAATTAAAATGGCACAAACTGTCAAGGTTTTAGCTCTTTCTGTTCAATACTTCACTTAGCTTATCAAAGTTTATTAATTATAAATCACCATAGCATGATCAATTTCTCATTATCTCACAACCATATCATTTTAAAACCTGTGTTCTTCAGCTACAACATCCAACAAGAAGGCCCAGTTCAGCAGATATCTTACGCCTCAGATACTGAAAGTGGGTATCTACGAATCGTAGATGATGGCACAAGGAGGTTTGTCTGATTATGTTTCCTAAATCGTAACTAATCAGGCATGACAGATCCAAACTAATTTTTATCAGTCAATTTTCTGAAAACCTAACTAAGATGATATTAGCATTGCAGTGATTTGATTGGTCAATCCCCAAGATTTTAACCAATCAGATTACTGTACAGTGGCAGAGCCAGGGGTAGGGCGAAGAGGGGGTAGCCCCGAAAGCAAGTTTTTTAGGCAAATTCTCATAATTAGGATAGAAATCCTGGCAATCTCAGATATTTGGCCACCCCCTCCCCCCCTCTCTCGGACCTATACCTGGCTCTGCCACTGTTACTGTATACATCCTGATTCTATGTTTTAGCTTATTGTTTCAACCATTTGTCCAATAAAATCTTCTATGATTTGATTTGCTGATTTAACATTGATTGTTGCTTCAACATTCTCTTTAGAAGTTTTATGGCTCTTCTGATTCTCCTTTTTGATTTTTCTAACATCCAAGTCTTCTTCAGTTTTTCTTTCCTTATCAGGATTTTTTATTTTGTTTTTATTACTTTTGTAAAGGTTGCTGTGAATTCGAGTTATTTCTAACAATCTTTTCTTTGATGTTTTTTGTTTCTTGTTGTTCACTATGAAATGGAATGATGTATAATTTTATTGCTATGAAAGAATTGATTTAGGGATCCCAGACTTGCTCTATTTACAGGAATTCTTTTTTTTTTTATTTGAATAATACCGCTAAAAAATTGGTTTGAGGGATGAAAAGATTTCTATTTAAGAAATGACTTCCAAAGCATCTTGATATGGTAACAATCTCCCCATGTTCCCCACCTGGGAGGCCATGGCCCTCTTAACCCTCAGCTGATATTTTCCATTTCCTCTATTTTTGTTTTTATTCCCAACTGGGATCCCTGCATCATATATTATGTCTTACATCAGGCAAGTGGAGGAAGTCTTTGCTAAAACAAGAAAACCAGATGAGGTCATGAACCCAAAAAATTAGAAAGGTTGAATATCCAGA